GAGATGTTACCCATAGCCATTCTTTTGCTCCGAGGTAATGCGAGATGTTACCCAGTAGCCATTTTTTTCTCCGAGGTAATGCGAGATGTTACCCAGTAGCCATTTTCTGCTCTAGCCAGTTAATACGNGCGCCAGAAACTAAAATGACTGATGACATGGGCGTACCTATGAATGGCAGCTGTCTTTCCCTCCTGGAAGTCGCTTTGAAGGAGCTATATCAACTATCTGACCTCGAAACCTGACTTGCCCCTCCCTAGTCTAGAAGCTAGGATAACTTGCCCCCCCCCCCCCTTCCCTAGTTAGTCCAGCAGCTAGATATGACTTGCTCCTCCCCCTTCCTGGAAGCGCTTTGAAGGAGCTAAGGCACTTGAGGACATGGAATCAAGGACTCACCTTTGGCGTTCTTCCTTCCTCCGATCTGTCTTCCTGTCCTTCCCTTAATCTTCAGTGTCAATGTGTCACTTTAAAGGAGCTGTCACTACCGGGCATCGAATCAAGGACTTACCTTTAGCGTTCTTCCAGTGACTGTGGCACCTTACAGTTCCGCTGCTGCTTCTTATCGACCTATACACTGTCAACGTGTCACAAGCGGGCATCTTCTTTCCTTCGAGTCTTCCTGTCCTTCTTTTAATCTTCACTGTCAATGTATCACTTTAAAGGAGCTGTCCCTTGAAGGCACTCACCTTTAGCGTTCTTCCAGTGGCTGATACACGGCGGCACCTTCCAGTCGCGCTGCTGCTTGACGGACACGCGGCGCGGCGGCGAGTGCAGCACGGGCGCGGGCGGCGACGGCGCCGCGCGCGGGATCTTTTTGTTGAGAGCGGGGAGCTCGCTTATGAGCCTTTATAAGCTGTCTTATGATGTCTTAGAAACTGATGGCCATTGGGGCAGAAGTTCTTAAGAGGCGACCACGGATTGGAGAAGAGTGTAGACTGACCTTGGTGGACCGACTATCTAGTGAGCTCGCGATATGCGCAGGAGCAGTCATAGTGAAAATCTTTGGGGGAGGAATTTCGAATTACTGCAACGCTATGACCTGATAAAATGACGCCCATTTTATCAGGTCATAGCGTCCCGTCATTGCGCCCAGGGGGAGGGGCAGGAGGGGCTGCTGCCCCTCCCCTGGAAGTCGCTTTGAAGAAGGAGCTAAGTCACTTGAGGGTATCGAATCAGGGATTGACAGGAAAGTCTCATTCTTGCCGCGTCAGAAACTAAAATTACCTGATAATATGAGCGTACCTTAGGGAACCCTGGAAGTCGCTTTGATTGAAGGATCTAAGTCACTTGAGGACATCGAATTAAGCACTCACCTTTAGCATTCTTCCAGTGACCGTGGCACCTTCCACCACCAGTTTCGCTGCTGCTTCTTATCGACCTTTCAATATGTCACTTGAAGGCATCAAACTCGAACTCACCCTTGGCGTTCTTCCAGTGGCTGACACACGGCGGCACCTTCCAGTCCCGCTGCTGCTTCTTATCGACCTATACACTGTCAACGTGTCACAAGCGGGCATCTTCTTTCCTTCGAGTCGTCCTGTCCTTCCTTTGATCTTCACTGTCAATGTGTCGCATCAAGGACTCACCTTTAGCATTCTTCCAGTGGCTGACACACGGCGGCACCTTCCAGTCGCGCTGCTGCTTGACGGACACGCGGCGCGGCGGCGAGTGCAGCACGGGCGCGGGCGGCGACGGCGCCGCGCGCGGGGTCTTCTTGTTGGGGGACGAGGCTCTCTTATGATGTCTTTATGAGCTGATGGCCATTGGGGCAGAAGTTCTTAAGAGGCGACCACGGATTGGAGAATAGGATAGACAGAACTCCGTGGACCGACTATCTAGTGAGCTCGCGAGATACGCAGGAGCGGTCATAGTGAAGATCTTTGGGGGAGGAATTTCGCACTCCTGCAGAGCTATGACCTGATGAAATGGGCGTACCCAGGGGGAGGGGCAGGAGGGGCTTCTGCCCCTCCCCTGGAAGTCGCTTTGAAGAAGGAGCTAAGTCACTTGAGGGTATCGAATCAGGGACTAACAGGAAGGTCGTGCCAGAAACTAAAATGACCTGATGATATGGGCGTATCCAGGAGGGAACCCTAGAAGTCGCTTTGAAGGAGCTAAAGCATCGAACCAGGAACTCACCTTTAGCATTCTTCCAGTGACTGTGGCACCTTACAGTTCTGCTGCTGCTTCTTATCGACCTGTCAATATGTCACTTGAAGGCAGCGAATCAAGGACCCACCTTTAGCGTTCTTCCAGTGACTGACACACGGTGGCATATTCCAATCCCGCTGCTGCTTCTTATCAACCTATACACTGTCATTTGAGGGCATTCTATGTTCAACAGGGGACGTCCTTTCGCTGAAATGATGATTTTCTTCTAGGTCTCTTCGCCGCCTCGTCAGGACTGCGCTGGCCTGCCTGTCACCATCGGGCATCGAATCAAGGACTCACCTTTAGCGTTCTTCCTTCCTTCGATCTGTCTTCTTGTCTTTCCCTTGATCTACACTGTCAATGTCAACTCACCCTTAGCGTTCTTCCAGTGGCTGACACACGGCGGCACCTTCCAGTCGCGCTGCTGCTTGACGGACACGCGGCGCGGCGGCGAGTGCAGCACGGGCGCGGGCGGCGACGGCGCCGCGCGCGGGATCTTCTTGTTGATCTGGAAGCGCGGCGGCTCCATCGGGTCCGATTGGGCTTCTACCATCCTGGAGGAGAAGAGGAACGTCTTATGCTCATAGCAGACTTTTTTTATGCAAGACAAGGCAGGTATCTTATTGCACCTGATGTTAAGTGAGATGCAGTCTAGGATGGTACATATCTGCCCTGTAAGTGCCTATTCACTCTCGCCTTGAAAAGGCCCGGATTATAGTGTTCAGGAAATACAGCAACAGGCAGCGAATTCCAGTCCCTAGCTGTTCGCATTATAAAAGAGTCGTCGAAACGCTTAGTGCGAGCTGGTGGAATGCGAACTGGTGGTGGAACTTATCAACTCGGAAAGGAATCAACACCGTATCGCTTTTCGCGAGCTGTCATCGCCTTTCACGCGCTATCAATTGCGAGGTGAGACGTTTACGATACAGTTAGGTGTGCGTTGCAGTATAGAGTTTCATACAAAGAATACTAACCGCCTCGAATTGATACGGTTACGATCCCTTTCTGGGTTGATAAATGTGCGACGTCCTTTATGTTGCACGGTAAATTAATATTGCTTTTTTAACCACAATAGGGACGATAGGCTCTTGACGTGCATCTGACATAAGAAGATGATTAGACCAGAGGTAAATGAGAGCTTTTCACCTGAAATCCTCAAACACAGAGGGCACACTACCTAACCTCCGATTGATGTAATACATTGATGTAAAAGCATTTTGGCGACAGGCTACAACTACTGCAAGCCCTACAATCAACAGGAATGACCAGAAAATATTGTCCACATTGGGAATTGGTCGAAGCCAGATTTAGAGACAGGCATTTACCACATACAAGGGTGGTTAAATAGTGTGTCCATGTTTGTCATTTTTAAATTTTAAAAAACATCAAGCTGCCTTTAAACTATACTACAGAATAAAGGATTTGCTACACTGCACTGGGTGCGTCGTGAGGTCAGATCTAAGTGAACACAGCCCGCATCATGTATAAACAACATTGTCCGTCTCTTCTATACATTTTGTATTGATGCTACCTGAGCGTGCGGGCAAGTGCGGGCGTGTTCATTTGACCTGTAGGCCTAAGATGCGCGCCGCGATAAACTTTTATCGCGCCATTTTATCGATTTTACGCGATATGCCCATACGTTTGTCGTGTAATGCTAAGAACTCACGGGCCACGGCGCGATTTTCACCCGCGCCCGCGGCGGTTGTGGAATTGCGGTTTTATTTCAAAACTCACGGGAGCGGTTATTTGCGCGGTTATTCTAAGAACTCACGGCGCGATTAAATCGCGCCGCGTGCTAAGTCGCTGGTACAAAATGGTCGCCCGCCGATCGTCGGGACCCGAATACAACCGCGCCCGCTGCGTGCGAAAACCGCGTCGTGAGTTTGTGCATTAGTTTTTACATAAGTATCTGCATTCCACAGAAGCTGCGGGCCCGCAACTGACGCGGGCGCGGGTGAAAATCGCGCCATGAGTTCTCGGCGTGCATCTTAGCCCGACTGACCGCAGACATACGAGGGCGGCACTGAAAATTTCGGGAATCAAGGAAGTGGNCAGCCAGAAGCCAGAAAACGCCGTTTTTATGTGACAGGAGGTAAACATCAGACGGATCACCTGATGGTAAGTGATTGCCTGCGCGCAACATGGTCCTTCGAGCCGGATATCCGGATATTTTCTTATCTTACCTCTTGTCCGGAACAGCTCTAGCCAGGTTCCGCTTGTGCTGTCTTTCCTTGTGCCGTTAAGCGCGCAACATGGTCCTTCGAGCCAGATTTTCCACTGATTGCCAGTGTTAAGGATTATTATTAAGTTACATCTTATCTTACCTCTTGTCCGGGGCAGCCCGAGCCAGGTTCTGCTCGCGCTGCCTCTCTTTATGCCACTCAGCAAGCAGTTTGTCTCTCTCTGCCACGGTAAGGCCGGACTCGTCCCCTTCTGGCTGGTCTATTTAGCATGGTCCTTCGAGCCGGATTTCCCGCTAACAATAAAATTACTTCTTATCTTACCTCTTGTCCGGCGCAGCCCTAGCCAAATTCCGCTCGCGCTGTCTCTCTTTATGCCACTTAGCACGCAGTTTGTCTCTCTCTGCCACAGTGAGGCCGGACTCGTCGACTTCTGCCTGGTCTAGTCAGCATGGTCCATCGAGCCGGATTTTCGAATTTTGTCTGATCTTACCTCTTGTTCGGCGCAGCCCTAGCCAGATTCCGCTCACGCTGTCTCTCTTAAGTCGTTCAGCGCGCAATTTGTCTTTCTCTGCCACAGGGAGCCCGGGCTCGTCAAATTCTGGCTGGTCTAGTCAGCATGGTCCTTCGAGCCGGATTTCCAACTAACAATAAAATTACATCTTATCCTACCTCTTGTCTGGGGCAGCTCTAGCCAAGTTCCGCTCTCGCTGTCTCTCTTTATGCCGCTCAGCGCGCAGTTTGTCTCTCTCTGCCACCGTGAGGCCGGACTCGTCGACTTCTGGTGGTGCTTCCTCGTCCTCCGGCGCTCGGATACCTGGGTAGAAGGCGCTGTTAGACTGGGGGTAGATTGTGTTCCTTTTTTTGATGAAAAGGTTGCTCTTATTCTTACTGTTATTAAAATGTCCCCTAATGCTGGTAATATGGTCTACCTACAGTGAAGCGATTACGCTCAGTAGATGCTCTGTCTAATAAAAATTAAAAAGCAATCAAATGAATGCGTAAAATTGAAACGAGATTTTTACGCGTGGTCTTAGAAGTGAGTTAACATTTTCTTGAACTACTTTTCTATACCTAACGCTTTGTAGGTCTGTATAAATATAGTTGCTACGATATTTTTATGTGACTCATTTAGTGTCTCAATGCAGTTCACCCTGACTAAATAGTATCTGAATAAGCTCTGTGGTCTCTGGTCTTTTAGCAATTGTTAGGATCCCATACACAGGGTAAAAACGGGACCCTAATATTAACGTCGCTCTGTCTGTCACCAGGCTGTATCTCATAAACCGTAATAACTACACAGTTGAAATTTTCACAGATGATGTATTTCTGTTGCCGCTATAACAAAAACTAAACCCTGTGTGCCCTATAGCTGCTTTCAGACGATAACATAACAAATTCTCACCAGCTCTGTGATCCCTGGCCCTTTGCGCGAGAACCCTCAAATGTTCTTCTTTTTTCTCCTTTTCTCTTTGCGCTAATCTCCTTTCCAGCTGTGCTCTGGCCTCCACAGCTTCCCTGGCCTTTCTGTCAGCGATGTATAACGCGTCGGCTAGCTTGGAGAAGTTCTCGTTGATGCGAACTTGCTGTAATCCTCGGCCGTCCGCTGCGAGCCGCTTGTCAAGCGGGATTGTGTAACCTGGGGGCAATGAGCACTGATTAAGACATTGGATAAGTAGACTTGGTGATTAGTAATCATGCCCATTGGATTGGTGAGAGATTCGATTGAGTTTCCTTATGTGATGGGATCAGAAATGAGGAGATCCGTTGTAACATTAAAAAACTGGCGTAGCCCACAGAATTGTCAGACTTAAGTGGCAGTGGGCATAATAATCGTCGGGGCAAAAAAGTTATCGAGTGGCGACCAACTACGGACCTGCAAAGGCGAGAAAAATATCGACAGGCCTTTAGGTGAATCACGAGAAGCACCTGAATCCTGGAAGTCGCTTTGATTGGATGCCCTCACTTGAGGGCAATCCAATCATACTTACCCTTCGTATTCTTCCAGTGACTAAAATACGATGGCACCTTCGAATCCCGCTGCTGCTTCTTATCGACCTACACTATCAATGTGTAACCTGAGAGCATTCTATGTTCAACAGTGGACGTCCTATCGCTGAAATGATGATTTTCTTCTTGGTCTCTTCGCCGCGCCTCGTCAGGACTGCGTTGGCCCTACAACCTGTCACCATGGAGCATCGAATTAAGGACCCACCTTTAGCGTTCTTCCAGTGGCTGACACACGATGTCACCTTACAGTCCCGCTGCTGCTTCTCGACCCACACTGTCAATATGTCACTTGAGGGCATTCTATGTTCAACAGTGGACGTCCTATCGCTGAAATGATGATTTTCTTCTAGGTCTCTTCGCCGCCTCGTCAGAACTGCGCTGGCCTGCCTGTCACTATCGGGCATCGAATCAAGGACTCACCCTTGGCGTTCTTCCAGTGGCTGACACACGGCGGCACCTTCGGCGGCACCTTCCAGTCGCGCTGCAGCTTCTTTAGCGTTCTTCCTTCCTCCGATCTCTCTTCCTGTCCTTCCTTTGATCTTCACTGTCAATGTATCACTTTAAAGGAGCTGTCCCTTGAAGCATCGAATCAAGGACTTACCTTTAGCGTTCTTCCAGTGGCTGTGGCACCTTACAGTTCCGCTGCTGCTTTTTATCGACCTATACACTGTCAACGTGTCACAAGCGGGCATCTTCTTTCCTTCGAGTCGTCCTGTCTTTCCTCTGATCTTCACTGTCAATGTGTCGGATCAAGGACCCACCTTTAGCGTTCTTCCAGTGGCTGACACACGGCGGCACCTTCCAGTCGCGCTGCTGCTTGACGGACACGCGGCGCGGCGGCGAGTGCAGCACGGGCGCGGGCGGCGACGGCGCCGCGCGCGGGATCTTCTTGTTGGGAGGCGAGGCTCTCTTATGATCCCTTATAACGTAGCCATTGAGGCAGAAGTTCTTAAGATTGGAGCAAGCAGTATTGACAGACCTCTCGGTGGACCGACTAAATCTTTGGGGGAAGCCTTTATCCTACTGGTTGGAACAGCGAAATAGGGAAGGTCACGTTCCTGCAGCGCCAGACACTAAAATAACCTGATGACATGGGCGTACCCAAAGGGGGGCAGGGGGCGGCAGGAAGAAAAGTCGCTTTGAAAGGGGTAAGTCACTAGATAGGGTACCGAATCAGGGATTAACAGGAAGGTCGTATTCCGCAGCGCCAGAAACTAAAATGACCTGATGATATGGGCGTACCCAAGGAGAGGAACCCACGAAGAAGTCGCTTTGAAGTAGCTAAAGCATCGAACCAGGAACTTGCCTTTAGCATTCTTCCAGTGACTGTGGCACCTTACAGTTCCGTTGCTGCTTCTTATCGACCTGTCAATATGTCACTTGAAGGCAGCGAATCAAGGACCCACCTTTAGCGTTCTTCCAGTGACTGACACACTGGCACATTCCAATCCCGCTGCTGCTTCTATCGACCTATACACTGTCATTTGAGGGCATTCTATGTTCAACAGTGGACGTCCTTTCGCTGAAATGATGATTTTCTTCTAGGTCTCTTCGCCGCCTCGTCAGGACTGCGTTGGCCCTACAACCTGTCACCATGGAGCATCGAATCAAGGACTCACCTTTAGCGTTCTTCCTTCCTTCGAGTCGCCCTGTTCTTCCCTTGATCTTCACTGTCAATGTGCCCTATACGAGCATCGAACCCGCACTCACCCTTGGCGTTCTTCCAGTGGCTGACACACGGCGGCACCTTCCAGTCGCGCTGCTGCTTGACGGACACGCGGCGCGGCGGCGAGTGCAGCACGGGCGCGGGCGGCGACGGCGCCGCGCGCGGGATCTTCTTGTTGGGGGGCGAGGCTCTCTTATGAGCCTTTATGAGCTGATAGCCATTGGGGCAGAAGTTCTTAAGAGGCGACCACGGATTGGAGAATAGTGTAGACAGACCTTGGTGGACCGACTATCTAGTGAAGCGGTCGTAGTGGAATCTTTGGGGGAGGCCTTTATCCTACAGTCTTTAGGTTGGAACGACGAAAAAGGTCGCATTCCTCTAGCGCCAGAAACTAAAATGATCTGATGACATGGGCGNAGAAGTCACTTTGAAGGAGCTAAGACACTTGAGGGCATCGAATCAAGGACTTACCTTTAGCATTCTTCCAGTGACTGACACACTGGCACATTCCAATCCCGCTGCTGCTTCTATCGACCTATACACTGTCATTTGAGGGCATTCTATGTTCAACAGTGGACGTCCTGTCGCTGAAATGATGATTTTCTTCTAGGTCTCTTCGCCGTCTCGTCAGGACTGCGCTGGCCTGCCTGTCACTATCGGGCATCGAATCAAGGACTCACCTTTAGCGTTCTTCCAGTGGCTGACACACGGCGGCACCTTCCAGTCGCGCTGCTGCTTGACGGACACGCGGCGCGGCGGCGAGTGCAGCACGGGCGCGGGCGGCGACGGCGCCGCGCGCGGGATCTTCTTGTTGGGGGACGAGGCTCTCTTATGAGACTTTATGAGCTTATGGCCGTTGGGACAGAAGTTCTTAAGAGGCGACCACGGATTGGAGAAGAGTGTAGATAGACCTCGGTGGGCCGACTATCTAGTGAGCCCGCGAGATGCGCAGGAGCGGTCATAGTGGAAATCTTTGGGGGAGGAATTTCGAATTACTGCAGCGCTATGACCTGATGAAATAGGCGTACCCAGTGGGAGCGGCAGGAGGGGCTGCTGCCCCTCCCCTGGAAGTCGCTTTGAAGAAGGAGCTAAGTCACTTGAGGGTGTCGAATCAGGGACTAACAGAAAGGCCGCATTCCTGCCGCGCTAGGAACCTAAAATGACCTGATGAGGAACCTAAATTGGCGTATCCAGACGGACCCCTAGTCGCTTTGAAGGAGCTAAAGCATCGAACCAGGAACTCGCCTTTAGCATTCTTCCAGTGACCGTGGCACCTTCCACCACCAGTTTCGCTGCTGCTTCTTATAGACCTGTCAATATGTCACTTGAAGGCATCAAACTCGAACTCACCCTTGGCGTTCTTCCAGTGGCTGACACACGGCGGCACCTTCCAGTCGCGCTGCTGCTTGACGGACACGCGGCGCGGCGGCGAGTGCAGCACGGGCGCGGGCGGCGACGGCGCCGCGCGCGGGATCTTCTTGTTGATTTGGAAGCGCGGCGGCTCCATCGGGTCCGATTGGGCTTCTACCATCCTTGAGGAGAAAGAACGATGGTTATGAGGTCCACAATAGGAAAGCTCTTGACTTGCATCTCACATGTCGACGAGAGCATCACCCGGAATCTTCGACCACAGACGGCCTAATTCACGTACATATTTTGACAGTCAAGATCTCGCTGGACGTTCAGAAGTCGACCCATTGAAAAACAGTTCTAAATCCGTATTTACAAGGGTCATTTTCGATAGAACGATTACTCGATAGGATCGCAACTCAGCGACTTGTTGTCATTGAAGTTTTGTTACGTCGTCCCATTGAAAACAGTTCTAAATCCGTATTCACAAGGGTCATTTTGATAGAACGATTACTCGATAGGATAGCAACTCAGTGTTTTGTTGTAGTTGAAGTTTTCTTACGTGAATAAAAGGCTACTGCTTAACTAACCTCCGATGACATAATATTAAAGCTTGGTGAATTGGTGACAGACTTAGTTAAGAGTCAGGTGGACCTACAATCAACAAAAATGACCAGAAAATTTTGTACCATATTGGAATCGAACCCAGTTTTGAGACAGGTGGTATTATCACATGCAAAGGTGGTTAAATCATGTTTGTCATTTTTAAATTTTAAAAAACCAAGCTGCCTTGATGCTACTACAGAATAAAAGATTTGCTACACTGCACTGGGTGCGTTCTGAGGTCAGATCTAAGTGAACACAGCCCGCATCATGTATAAACAACATTGTCCGTCTCTTCTATACATTTTGTATTGATGCTACCTGAGCGTGCGGGCAAGTGCGGGCGCGTTCATTTGACCTGTAGGCCTAAGATGCGCGCCGCGATAAGCTTTTATCTCGCCATTTTATCGATTTTACGCGACATACCCATACGTTTGTCGTCTAAAACCGTCGATAAGATTTTATCACAGCGTGTATCCTAGTCCGGCTGACCGCAGACATACTTATAAAACTGATGTAGCAAGAATATTTTTAAAAATATTATTGTAAAAGATGTACGTACNAGCGATAAATTGTGGTTTTGGATGGGGCTTCATTACCAAATGCAGAAATCATCCGGTCAACACACTGTTTTTGTGTTAAACCACTTCAAAAGTCATAATAAATCATCGCTCTTGAATTTTCTCGAGTCAATTCCATTTTCTCAACGACTAAACAAGTTTGACAAGACCTTGTGATATGACCGAGAATCTTTTTTTAAATAAATAAATGGTATACGATTTTTAAAACCCTGGAGTTTGCAATTAAATAGATTTTAATATGAATGGAACAGTGGAAATATTCCATTCCCGATACTTTTAGTGCAGCCCTCGTACTTATAAAACTGATGTAGCAAGTATATTTTTAAAATAATTTTGTAAAAGATGTACGTACCTAATGACCCGCTGCTTAGCTCCGGAGTTGAAAGCGCCGCCTTGCTGCGCGGGCGTGTATCGGATGTATTGCGCCGGTGCCTGCCAAGGAAAGGTACTATCAACGCGCGTAAATAATGGCTGTTCTCCGCTTATAGCAGAGATGGACTTACATCTAAACCCTCACTAATAAAAGGGCCGAATGATTTTTATTGGATGGGGAAACACGGACGGGAAGAGAAGAAATCCCCTCTTAAAAAAGGCAACAATAGCCCAAAGATGTCAAAGATGCCCAAATTACAAAACTTATTTGGTTAGGCCATATTCTGCTTAGAGCCCAAGTTTAACGGATCTTTTTTTTTGTCAAGAAATGCATGAATTTGCATACCCACTGGCCCGGGGGAACCAGTGGGTTATGTGAGGCTCTCCCTGCCAGAAGGGCAGGACCTACTCACTAAAACCTGACGGTGTCCTCCTGAAGTCTTCGGGACAGAGCCGCGAGTTATTGTCCGAGCTAGACGGCCTAGAAATTCTTGGGCCCAGACACAGTAAGCTTAAAAAAAAACTTATTTCAGTATCATCATCATTTCAGTCATAGGATGTCCAACTGTTGAACATATAAATAAATAATAATAAAGCACTATTTCAGTATGGTAACTGGTAAGTATTAAATATCTAGATTAATTAAAAATCTAACTCAAAATATCCAACTCACAGCTTTAGGGGCAGCTTTCACGGGCATAGCAGCAGATATCTTGGCGTTGGTCAACTTCTCCAGGGCAAGCTTGGTCTTCTCCGTGATATCTTGTATGTCTTCATCGGTCGGTTTCTGGAGCGTGGGATCATCTTCAGCCAGTACCTCGGACGGCAGCAGGTCAGTAAGTTTGGAGTAGATTATCTGTTGACAAATAAAAATATAATTTATTTTCTATTAATTTCACTACATAGATAAAGTGCCTAACGTCATCAAGATTAGCTTGCGATGAGAAAACTTCTTACCACAGATTTTTTTTTTAATTTGAGAATATTTGTTAACTCAATCACAACTTTGGTATGAGCCTGACTGGTCTGGAATATTTATTGTAAGTCTACCCAACAACGCCGAAGCGAAAAGAAGGCCACTTCTTAGCAATTATAAAAGTACAGACTAAACACATAGATTTTGAATCATTTTATTTATTTATTATAGATTTATAAATCCACAGTTATTACAGTTTTATTTAAAATTAATTATTTCTCTTGATTGTGGCCCCACTTGGGTAAAAGCCTCCTCCATCATTTTGGATTTTGAATCATAAATCACATTAATGTTTCACAATAAATAATTTTGAATTTGAAGCCATTGCTATACTTGTTAGGTGCATATTCCAATACCAACCTTATCAGCGCTATGCCCCTGCCTAGCAATAGCCGAGTACTTGACACGGCCCGTCTCATCCAGCTGAACGGCCAGAGCGTTTGACGTGCTCTCCTTCCCTCGTGCACCCATGCCCAAGGGATACTGGGCCACATGGATCTCGGGGAACGCACCTCCATCTAGAATTACACCATTGTTTATTTTTTATTATTCAATTATGACACTTCTAATAATGTAAGAAAGGATACTGCTAAAATTAGGTTTAAAAAGTAGCTGTAAAAACTAAAAAGAGTAGGTACCTAAATTCCTTAGGAAAGCCTTACATTAATATACATAAATAGCACATCAGACTATAGATATTTGTAGCAAAATTTCAGCTATTGCAACATAAGAAGTCAATGTTTAGATGTGCTGTTATTTTCAATTTACAACTGCAATCAATGCTATTTGTCGATACACAACTTTGTCTTTGAATTAACTGGTATTTTGGTGAAAATATAAGCATCGTACTTGGTACCAATAAAGAGTTCCTAACCCTTGAAATTGCTAAATTACCTCCAAAGTCCTCCTCTGCCCGCGGCACCCATCCTTTCCTCTGTCCATAAGGTGGCACACTTGTTTGGGACACAACCAACGCGCTGCCGACTCGTTTTGCCTTCAATTCATCATCTCGATCCCACACTTGCTGTGTCGGAGCTGGCAATAAGCTGAAATATAAAGTTTCATAAAGATTATATTTCAGTGCGCCAGTTTTTAAATAAATAAATAAATAAATAAAAAATGTATTTATTGCCTTCGAACCATTCGTTTTGTAAATCCTTTATCACTGAACTTGTTACTCTTTATTATGACGGGTTATCGTCACATGAAAAGAGATAAACAAGGATAAAAGCTAATAAATTCAGAAGAACAACAATGTGATGCATGGTGATTTCCAGGTTTAGCTGAACAGCTTGTGCTCTAAATACTATAAGCGTATTACCAAATTTTCATACACAAAGAAAGTAACTCAAAACCAATTTATTTAGGGCAAATAATGGCTAAAATTAAAATAATTTCCAGAAAATAAAATACACACACCTCGTCAACGACGCCATTTTGGTGACTGACTGACTGACGTATTTTCGTTCAGAAACTTTAGTAATCGTGTTCTGTGGGTGGACAAATAAAAAAAATGCTGTTTGTTTAATCATTAAATTAAATATTAGATCTCATATTTACCCTAGCATTTTGTTAACTAATGAAAAGAGGAATTGATTGACTATTAACTAGCGACAGAAGATTTATTAAAACATTTTTTATTTCTGCCAAAATTTTAATGATTGATTCATGATTGATTTATAAACGAATATTGATTTTTAAATAATAGCGAAGAGCAAAGAAAACAAGAAATATACATCCTTTTTATAATGTTTTTTGAAAATGTAATAATTTATCATAAATTATTGAATTACTTACAAACCCTTCATTTTCATATAAATTTTATTTCAAATATTTTTTCAATTTATTTTCATAATAATTGCTGTGTTATTTGGCGTGTGAAAATGAAAGAGAAATTGACAGATTCGTATATAAATGAAGTAGGCTGCGAACGTCCCCCTTTTATAACCTCAAAAATGCGCGAGAAGTACCAAGTCTGATGGTGTAGGAAGCTAATTTAATATTTTAATTGGTGATAAAGTGCACAGTATTCCGCCATGCCGTCAAAAAAGAGAAAATACAACGCCAGATTCCCAGCGGTAAGCCGAAATTTGCATTTTAATGGTTGCAAAATTGTCAAAATTATTGTTGTTTTCATGTAGAATTTTGAGGGGATTGGTGATATCATGACATTGTTTATTTGTAGGGGCGAATCAAGAAGATCATGCAGACTGACGAGGAAGTGGGGAAAGTGGCGCAGGCGGTGCCTATCATAATTTATATCCTTTTCAATGTACACCTAATAATAGAATGCATAAAATGATTTGACAATGCCAAACAATCAGCAATACTGATACATCCCGTCCAATAAGTACTCTAGGTCTTATTAATTAGCCAATATATACCAGTTTTGGTTTTCTACCTGAGCCAATCTTCTGTTTGCCTTATAAACATCACCATGTTTGTTATGTAAAAGCTCTTAGTTTTTTGTTTATGTAATATCCAATGGCATTTTTTTGATTATTTCAATTTCATGTTATTCCTATTAGCACTAAACTTGCTACTAGATTAACTAAGAAGATTCTTTAAATTGAAGTGATTTTAAGTTATCTTAAAATTCAGACATACTTATTAATACAACACTCTTTCTTGGTACTACTATTTCAACTATACAAAAGTAAATTTTGTTAAAGTTAATAATGACAATTGAAGGTAGAATGGAAAATATTAGAACCAATTGTCTGGAAATTAAAATGTTTTTAAACAGTTAATTAACTTGCCCTCAGGGCAATGCCCTAGGCTGTTTGTTTATTATTTATTTACTTATGTTTTATTGAATAAGGAATACAATACAACAAGTAAGATAGAAAATTAACATAAATATTCAATGTTTTCATCCAAAACAATACAAATTTGCACATTTTTACATAGAGATTCTATTGAATTGGATAATGCAAATTTTTACTTTGTTGTTTTTAATAATTCCTAACAAGTTAATCTCAAGTTATGATTATAATTTTGTTAACCATTTCATTAATGTTGGAATGAGTTATGTTTGGAAATTACAAAATGTTGAGTAGATATTTTATTTGTTATCACAATGAAGAAAACCCAAATTAACATGTCATTTATCAAAACCAATGACATGTTTGTTGAGACTATTCAGTATTTATTAGTAAAAGAATTTTATAATCAGAAATAAGTCTAACTTATTTAAAGTTGACATTATTGAAGCTTAAAGTATTTAACAAAATGAATTCTGAAAAGAAGTTGATTATTATTACAGTTTTATCAGGATTAACTTAACCATAGTGAATTATCCCTAAACTACAGTTTTACTTATCTAAATACACAAATCTGGGTTATCTTATCTCTGATACATCTTCCGCTCCAAAGTCCTCATGTACTAGTTTCTTGACCTGGCTTGACATGGATTTATGATCAATCTTTATTATAGGGCTTCGTACCATTTTGCAGTCATGGACCATTTACAATTTTTAAACTGAAACAAATAGGTTTTGAATAAGACTTATTTATTACTCACACTCACAGAGATTATTTCTGCAGCAGTAAGACTGTCAAAATTGTGCTGTTTATCTTATGGTTTATGGTAATCAAGTACTTAAGTCAAGTCAGTTTTTGAGTGCTGCACATTAAAAGTGTCTTTGAAGACAAAGGGCACACATACATAATGCAGCTTTCTCAGTCCAATAGAAAACATTGCAATATTATCTGACATGGACTTCTTTCTTGTACTCATGTTATGGGGTTCCATGAAATTCTAGATAATAAATTTTTTAGTTAGCAGTCAGAACAGAATAGGCAAGAACTTCTGTTCATGCAGTGTTTTAATGTATTTTTAACTAAAACAATATGTTTTCTAGGCTGGCTAAAATATAAATCATTTTTAAAAAGTTTCACTTCTGAAGGATAATGTTGTTTATTATGATAACATTATGATTATTTTTGCAGTGTTTAACATATTTCAAATATTTACAGTATAATTATAATTTGTATCATATTTATTACTCTTCTGATGCCTTTCACTTCTAATTCAGCTAGGTCTAAATTTTTTGCAAAGAGTATTAACACCAACTGGCCATTGTGGAAATCTTTGGTGGAGGCCTATGTTCACCAGTGGACGGCTGTGAACGTCCTATGGCTGAAATGATGATGATTATTATTATTTACAGTTAACCCCTCGTGGTAAGCTAAAAATGCTTGTGTTACGATTGGATTCACCGCAATAGTCCAACCAAGGCTCGGTTTCCACCAAAGCATAGAAGAGAGATGGGCAGGGCACATAGTACGCAGAACTGACGGCCGATGGGGCAGCAAGGATCTGGAATGGAGGCCGCTTACCGGAAAACGCAGCGTGTGACGTCCACTCGCAAGGTGAACCAACGACCTCATAAAAGTAGCAGGGAAGCGCTGGACGCAGGCCGCTACCAATCGAACAACATGGCAAGCATTGGGGGAGGCATGGATGTTCAGCAGTGCACGTCTTACGACTGAAATGATGATGAGAATGATAGAAGAGAGATGTGTTTAAACAATCAGATCTCGCTATTTCCTGAACACCTCTCCGCTCATCTTCGGAGCGGATATCTGATTGGTTATTCCATCTCCTCTTCTCTCCGCTTTGGTAGAAACCGGCCTTAGATGCATAGTTGCGGACTAAAATAGTCTGTTGATAATAAAGCAAGGATAATAATTTTGACTCATGTTCTCAATAACGTTATCGGAATGAGATGAAATATGTACACAGGCGATAGAGCATCAGAGCAATACTATGACTCTTATGCTAGTCGAAATAGGCACTGTTTTCCAACAAAAATGTTTAGTCTGACGTGCTGTAGACTGTCTACAACCTGATAAGTTAACAGATTCGCCTTTGTGCTCGACTTATTTATATTTATGATTTTTGTGTACGTCAGAGCTAATATTGGAGCGATGCGTTTGCGCAAAATTGCGTAGAGATCTTTGGTATAATACAAGTGGATGTAGTAGGCTAACTTTGATAATAATGCAACATACGTCTTACATAATAATGGATAGGAGATACTCTTATATTGTACTAGCTTTCCGCCCGCGTGGACTACATTGTATAGCCTACATATTTTACGGAACCCTATTTTTTTCCAAAATAAAATTTAGCCTATGTTACTCGTAGATAATGTAGCTTTCGAATGGTGAAAGAATTTTTAAAAACGGTCCAGTAGTTTTTGAGCCTATTCATTACAACCAAACAAACAAAGTTTCCCTCTTTATAATATTAGTGTAGACAACACTAAATATTGTACAACACTAAAGTTACAATAAAAGAAAGACAAAATTGAAACTGCACAATATCTCGAGTCTTAATCGCTAGGAAGTGAACGAAGTGATAATTTTCGGGTATCCGGGAGTGGATAATTATTTAGTCATAACGGGAAATGAAATGAATGGGTATAAACCTCTGGACAGAAGGTCGTTACAAATTTTGTTCCTTACTTAAAATATAAATTATTTTGTCAACCGCTTCTAGTAACTTGAAATCACAGACTACTGTATACGCGTTGCCGTTTGAAAATATTTAAAACTTCCTATACCTACTTTCTGCTTGTCCAAAGGAATAAAATAAATGCCATCTGATTGGTTATACAAAACACGCGGAGAAGAACCGCCTTGGTAAAAACCATGTCTTACTGCACTTTTTTCCACTGTGCAGTGTCATTGATGATCAATGCAATGACTGAGACTCATTGTATTATGATTTAAACGATTGAAAGACCCACTTTGTTGGCTTTATGGCGGTGCTACATCGAGGTTGAATTTTAATAGGTTTATTACAATTTATAAAGCCAACGAGTGCGAATAAATCCATGCACAAGAGGTTTGGTGGTATGATCTCATTTTGTCTAAATTATTTATCATGTTTGGTTCTTTTTAACTCGATAGAGACGATTGTTTTAGGAATCCCCGCGGACTACAGATTTTAAGCTAAGGCGCAGACCACCGATTTTTAGTTGGCCGATAGTTGGGTCGGGCTACTAATGAGTATGGAAATGTATGAAACTGCGCACATTACACCGTTTAAAAGTTTGTGGTCTGCGAATAGGATTAGCTTAAATTGGCCGATAGTTGGGCCCGACTCAAATTTTATGAAGAATTGGCCAATACAACTCTGTCTAATGTGCGCACTTTCATTAGCCGCAGATCACAGACTTTTGGTCAGCCGATAGTTGGATCGGACTGTTACTATGACAGGGGGAAGCTGCCACCAGGGTACGCCCATGGCCCTTAATACGTTAAAAACGGCCCTGACATTCAATTTTTTCTAAGTTCCTTAACTCAGAGCTGTTCGATGGTACACCGCGCACCCTGGAACTCTTCGTGGAGTCGCTCCTCAGCAAGGCGATGCAAGTCACGATGGCGCGCAACGCCAAGACGCTCAGCCCCAGCCACGTCAAGCAGTGCATCCTGGGCGAGTCACGGTTCGACTTCCTGCGAGACCTGGTGAGCACCTACATCAAGTGGTCAGCAAGGCGATGCAAGGCACGATGGCGCGCAACGCCAAGACGCTCAGCCCTAGCCATGTCAAGCAGTGCATCCTGGGCGAGTCACGGTTCGACTTCCTGCGAGACCTGGTGAGCACCTACATCAAGTGGTCAGCAAGGCGATGCAGGTGACGACGGCGCGCAACGCCAAGACGCTCAGCCCAAGACACGTCAAGCAGTGCATCCTGGGCGAGTCACGGTTCGACTTCCTAAGAGACCTGGTGAGCATAATGTATAGTTTAAGAGTCTTCTGGTAAAGAAGAAGAAAAAGTCAAAGTGGCTAAGTCGCTGTTCGAATTTCTGCGGAATCTGGTGAGTGTATGTAGTTCATAAGCCTGATGGTCCAAGAAGATGAAATAACGTTTTACGTAACCTGAAGGAATCCTAAAAGTCTACATCCAAGTTCCTTACTGTTCTGTGAACTGTTCTTTCAATACCCATTTAAAGTCTCTGTAACGTCAAGCATCATGATTCGGGGTTCTCCTTCCTCTGGGAATGAGTGAGATCTTAACATGAAGGAATTATGACCAGTAAGGCCCAGAACAGACGGTGAAACGAAACTGCAACTTTCTGATAATTCTGATGAATGAAACTGAAAGTTTCAAACTGGTCGCGTCATGTGTGGTCTCTCAACGGACGCTATGGCAGAAACTTAGATGCAACTCAAAAGTAACTAGCAGTTGCAGTTTCGTTGCAGTTGCGTTTCACCGTCTGTTCTGGGCCTTAGTCTCCACAATCGTCAAGCAGTATATCCTAGCCGAGACTGTCCATTCGAGGATTGAGGAGCTGGTGGACTTTGAAAAATGGACGAATGTACTCTGTAAAGAAATGTCATGTGTTTTGTTTCTTATTTCAGGTTAAGAATATCCCAGACGTGTCGGTGGCTGAAGAGAAAGAAATGATGAGTGCAGAAAGCTCACCCAATTCTTCAAGGTATTTGTCCAAATTATCTCTAGTTCGTCGTCTATTAAAAAGCCTAAGAGCGCTTTCACATTAGGTCGTTAGTAGCACGACAAACGCGCGATAGACGTGCTGCCGAAAATTTCATACTATGTGACAACGGATGCATGCCTTTACATTATAAAAACGCCGCTGCCGCGCTGCTGTCGCGCTTCTAATGCCCTAATGTGAAAGCGCTCTTAAGGTCCATAGTTTAAATACACTCGAAATATTTAGTTTTTATTTATATTCGAGATTTCCTTGAGATCTATGACATCACTAAATTAATTCCATCTTTCCTTTCACCAGATTTTCAGACGCATCAGTGCCACCCCGCAGGGTAGTGAGAGAAGACTCAAACAGTTCCAGCAGCTGTGATACCAGGGTGCCGCCCCCTCTCGTGCCCCCCGCAAACCCCCTCCGACGGGGCTTGTCTTCAGAAACCGAACTACCTCACAGAACGCACCGGACCGAGACCGTTACTTCAACCATAGTCTCCTCCGACACCGCCATAGACCTAACCAAACGACACGTCGAGGAAAAACCGGTCAGAACGGCCAACTTCTACCAAGAAACCTTCTTAACAGACGACGCTACGCACAGAACGGTCATCACCGTTAACCCCACGTATGCTAGCCCTCAACCTTCAACCAGCTACACTGATATGACCCCTGTGGAGCCTTTACATAGACTAGAAATTCCAGTGCCAAAACCAACGACGGAATTCGTCGACGTGAATCCCACTCCACCCCCTAGGACGCCGTCGACGCCTATTCTAAATATAGACTTCTCGAAAAATCTCACCAAACCAGAGATACGCGTTTTAGATACAGCGATCGCTGGCATCGTGACCGTTCCGCCGAAGAACGCTCCAAAGTTACAGAGGCAGAACTCGAAACCTCATAAGCCTGAAAGTAAGAAAATCGACGTCAAACCCGCCAGTCAGCCGGTTGACATAGACCATTTAAATTCTGGTAACCTACAAATAGATGAGGATTACGATACCTGAGCATTTTAGGGTTATTGTTTTGTTTCTATTATTTAATACACGGCAGTTGTTATTCAAATTTTAATGTACATACCGTGTGTTTGTTGGAAATTATTTATGTACATAATTACCATCATTATTAAATTAATTGTCTTTAATTTTCATGCATTCACAAAAATTTTGGGATTAATCATATTTCGGTAAGCTTAGCTGTTAATAAATTCGATTAAAATAAGCCAAATCATGTTCGTAATATCGACGAATCATAACTTTTTATAGCGACCTAATTAGAATAAAAGTAAAGGCCAGACTCCATAACTTCTGCAGTGTGGAGGTTGGAATGAAGAAATTATTCATACCACAGAAAGGAATGACAGTATTAACGATGTCAATATTAAAACCCGATCGGCTACCTGCGTACCTCGCTGGAATGCGACTCTCCCTCTCACTTACCCTCTCACATCTCCCGCGTTCGTTCGGTCCGTACCAAAGCGGCGATGTGACGTCACGGCCGCCAGATGCGCAGTTTAACTCGAGCGGGTTGTACTCGGGGCTTAGTGTGTTTATATCAAACGTATTCGATATTGACTGCGTAAAAAAAATCGCAGAGACGATGGCCGTTGGGGCAGAAAAGTTCTCGACTGGCGACCACGTGCTGGAAGACGTAGCGTGGGCAGGCCTCCTACTAGGTGGACCGACGATCTGGTGAAGGTCGCGGGAAGAGCCTGGATGCGGGCAGCGCAGGACCGGTCTTTGTGGAAATCCTTGGGGGAGGCCTTTGTCCAGCAGTGGACGTCTTTCGACTGAAACGAACGAACGAACGAAAAAAAATTGTACAGCGTCCCTAGTGGATACTTTCAAGAACTAAAATCTTCATAGATTTTTTTGACGCATTCGATATCGAATACGTTTGATGTAAAGTCACTCACACTAAGCCCCCTGATTGTGTTCGAAGGCCTTTAGAAAACATTTTAAAGGTTCGGCCAAACCAACGAGATCACACGCAATCAGCCGGCGTGCAGCGATTGCGATCAATGCATTTAAGTCTGGTCGCCATCGCTGCACGCCGGCTGATCGCGTGTCAAAATATGTCGTCTCAATGAATAGCTTGTATAATACTATAGAAGTCTTATATAGATCGTGCCATCCACGAAGACGCGCCCCACCAATGTTTGGTCTCGGTCGCGCGGGGTGCGGGGAGTTTGCTCCGAGCAATCCGAGCGGCATAGACATGTTGACACCACAGTCAATTGACGTACTTTTTAAAACTGTCAAAACGAAACTCTCCCATAGATTTTGTATGGCACTACAAGCAAGTGACGTCACTATTTTGTCAACTCAATTAAACTACTTTTTTCAATTACAATGCGACCAAAAATCGTAATTTACAGGTAATTTAAAATAAATTAAATTTTTAAGACCAGAATGAAGGGTCTTTTTAAAACAGTTGTGGTTTCGAATTATTGGGGTTTGGTGTCAAACTGTCTATTGTAGTGTGCGTGTGCACTCATGGATGATTTAGTTAGCGTGTACCGATAACACTCAAACATTAGCGGAAGAATGGTGGGGCGCGTCTTCGTGGATGAAACGATCTACATATAGTGTAAAAGTCTTGTGTTTAGTTGAATAACAGCTGTCGTGGTGTTGTTTACCAGCTAGGTATATTGGTTAATTAGTTATGTCGTAATTTGTTTTTGTACCGTGAAGTTTAATTGTGTGTGAGTTTTTTTTGTTTTTGTTTATGCACTAAATTGGTGTTTAATTTAAGGATTCGTGTGACTAAAATAACTTCAGATCTTTGTTTGTTACACACAAACCAATCACAGAGCTTTATTCAACGCTGTGCGTTCTGATTTTCTGCTTCACTTAAGCAAGCATTGTTTGTGAATACGGGCGTAAGTAACTTTTAACATGCTGAATTGAACTTTAAAGTAAGAAAATAAGACGCCTTTTTTGAAATCTCAAACGACATCCTAACTTCAAATAAATATCTGAAGTTATTTTGGTCACATATTAAATTAGTATTTTTATAAAAAAAGTATGACAGTCTGTCAGTTAATGTTGTGTAAAATATTATTTCTTAGATCCATTAAACCTTTACCTGGTAGTGGCAGAATTGTTGCCACTATATTTTGAACCTTATTGAGAAAACATAAGGTACAAAACTAATGAAAATATTTTTCTCTATATCAGTTAAAGGGTTAAAATAACTCTCATCGGTATATTGACTGTTTCTGAAGGTAGTTATCGTATTTGTTGACAGTGAATGTTAAACTACCCTCAACGTTTACTAAGCCTGTAGTCCCCTAGAAATATTCGTGACAGTTTTAATTTCAAAATGTCAGCACGGATTAAAGTAAATGTAGAAATAAACGCCGGAGCGAAGCGATTTTGAAGTTACGACTGTCACTTTGTCTAGGCTTTGTCGTTCATTGATGTAGTAGGTACAAAGATATCTTTGTTGATTGTTTGTTATACAAAGAGGCATCTCGCTCGATTTATGCTAATTTTATAAGTTCAGTCAGAATTGAGCTTTGATGTGTTTGATAGTCTAGAATACGGCACAGTACCCGGAGCACGAATAGTAATCGGCCTCGATAGAAATAGTATTTTTTGTTTGAAAAACAAAACAGCGCCGCTACAGTTCTATGTAGAATACAATTATACGACTAAGAGTCATTCGTGCTCAGGACATTGATTAACAGTGGACAACACTTAGGCTGAGTTGCACCATCTTACTTTAACTTTGACAAACGTCAAAAATCTGTCAAACTCCATACAAAATACACCGGTTATCGTTATAGTTACGGTCAAAGTTAGGTGGTGCAACTTAGCCTTAGGGTGGATTCGACCAAACAAGAGTAAATATTAATCTTAGAATAAATCGTCAGTTATTCGACATTTTGTAATATTTCGCATACTGAAACTGTCAATGTGCCAGTTATACCAGGAGTAGTTATGTATTAGTATTCTCGGATTAAAGTTTTTGCGAATCGGACCTTAGACACTTTTATTGCGAAATAGCGCTCTATTGCAACTAAGTAAGATGCCAGTGTTCACCTTAATGTGCTATAGTCTCAGTCACTCATACCATCCAATGGATTCTGGACTTTATATCTCATAGTTCAAGGTTCACTTTTTCATTTCAATCAATAATTATGCCATTTAGACCATCATCATGGAACTCTCGTCAAAAGTCAACATACCACGATATCGTGAATTTCACAATGTGTTTTGAATTGTAGTCCTACAGCTTAAGGTCCAAAATCAATTGAGGAAATTTGACGTTTAGCTATCCTTGATGTTCTGACGTATGTGACAATAGGAATAATTGAATTATTAAACCATAATAATTATGTAGACAAATTGTGGTTTATTCCACATGTTATTATTAACTACTATCCCAAGTTTCTATGAAACCAAGTCTTTTACTACCTCGCTCTCACCTATGTCAAAAGAGTGAGATGACACATGTTATTATAACTTATTGACTTAGTTAGAAGATGTAAAAAAACCTAACTAAAAATAATTGGAAATAATCACAAAATTATATTTAAGTCGAATGAAATTAAAATTAGTTTTAAATTGGTATTACCGTTTTTAGATTCGATCGACTCTACTCAGAAATTTTAAATGTTTGTATTTTGTAATTGTGTAATTGATTTTTTTTATTCAGTATTGGTTTTATTGTGGGCTGACTAAGTAAGTTAATTACTACCAATTTGATTTATTATTTTTATGCTTATTCTACTGTATACCACAGTTGTCATTTGGACACAAAAACTGTTTTTGTAAGTTTCATGCATCATCATGAATTTGCACTAGTCTATCTACACTTTTCGATAAAAGTTGAGAAGAAAAAAAATGGTTCTTTACCTGTCATACATGATTAATATTTGTTCTCAAAAGTGTTATTAAAAAATCTAAATAGGTATCACCCTGCAGAATACCGATGCTGATAATAAATAATGCATTTAACTTAGTACGTATTCTTTTGTATTTTTCTAGCTCACTTTAGAAATAACGATTGTGTTAAAATAAGAGTCGATCCTTGATTTAAAAATACATGTTTTCGAATGTAATGTAAATAAATTAGGTACATAATATTCCAGATTTGACTTCTGATAAATGTAAAATTGTGTGAACGTTGCGTTGGCAATATTATAGTCTTTAAATACAGAGTAGGAAGAGACAGGTTGCTCGCGCAGGAAAGTTGAAAATTGTTTGTGACTTACCACTAGGAGGCGCCACTATGATGGCAGATTTCTTGGATATTTTACTTACCCTATTCTTAGTGGATCCTGAACCATCATAATCTATTTTTTCTGGAATGTTAAGCCTGTATAGTCAGTGCAAGCTAATTTGTGTCTTATAATTTCTAGTTTAGGGCACAATTTGGTTTGCGCTAAATCTTTTGTTATTAATTTAAAATACTGGAAAAATAATGCTAAAGGATCGAATAGGAGTTTATTAACTATGTTAATTATGGACATAAAGTTTCTTTAAAACGAGTTTAAATTATTTTAAAATAAACTCCTTGAAAACCTTTGTTCAGTAGATGCTTATATTGACTCTTAGCATAAACCAAAGGTGAATCTTAACTATTTATCGGCCTAACAGATTGTAAAGGTTTTTTGGGCCTTTGTTACACTAGACCTGAGTACAATCAAGTGCAAAATGCGTATCTTTTACATTAGAAATCAATTTGTTCAAACCATTTTAGACTTGACTGTACCTATCTTAGATTCATAGTAAAAATGTGTTTTGTTGTATTTCTGAAATGTTTCTCTTTATGTATTAGACTATACTTGTGTTGAGGTCTTTGCGCATAGCATTGCTTAGCATTACCATCGCGCTACCTGTCCCAGTTTGTTTAGTGTTAGAGCGAGAGAAGAATACAGGTCGCCATATGGATCCTATACATAAGCCCTAACTAAATAATAATATGATAACTCTGTAAACTAGATCAATTTCAACAAGGTCTATTATCTGTCACTGTTACACATACTAGCACCTCTTTGCGTGAGAGGGATGAAACATTCGAAACTTCGGTTTGACTGAGAATAGCCCTGCAGGATAATTCTCGAGTGTCGTTTCATTATGGACAATATAAATATGTGCGTAAAGACCGATTTTGTGTATTGCCAATGCATGGAAGACTGTCAAATAACTCAAAGCAATAAGAGTTAGAATACCTGTATACAAGTTAGACTACCGTGTACAATGCTATTATGTATGTTTATATGTTGTAAAGATAGAAATACAGATTGGTGATACGTACAATTGCATTTTTATTTGTGACTATCTAGAGGTCTATCTATAGATAGACTATAGTCTGGTCGCCGAGCACGTAAAATTTCGTCCAATGACCTCAAGCTACCCATCCTTATCGCTCGCGCGTAATTATATTGCTGTCGCGACAGTGCGACGGGCGCCCGCAGTGAGTGTGCGAGCGCGACAGCAACATAATTACGCGCGAGCAGATGGGTAGCTTGGGGTCATTGGACAAAATTACTTATCTAGTCAGCGTCACATAGTTCGTGAGTGACAACTTTGAGTTCGTTCGTTCGTTTCAGCCGAAAGACGTCCACCATCCACCTCCCGGATCTTCACCAGATCGTCGGACCACCTAGTGGGA